GTAGAAAAATAAAACTGTCTTCCTTCGTTTTCTAAATTTGTTATAAATATAAACCTACAGTGTGTATGGCATTCTAGCAGGGGTTTGAAAGGAAATAATATTTTTAAAAAGTATATCACCTCAATCAATTTCTTGCCTTTTTTGTTTGTTTTTAAAATTTAAGGAGCCTGCAGTATTTTAGAGCAAAGGTTCAGAATGTTCTAACTATATTTAAGTTAGGCTTTAGAAAAATTCCACCCTTACCTTTTCACAATTAGAAAGGTTATAAATAATGTATTTGGCTGAAAAGGAAGCTCAGCCTGTGGCAGATGGTATCATTCTAGAGTACCGGGGTTTCTGTGAAGATGGCATTCTTTCAGATCGGAACTTCAGCAGACTCTCAGAAAGAACCGAAGCTCCTCGTAGGGAGTAGACATGTGCTTTATGGATCTTAGAAAAGCTTACAACTTGGCTCCTAGGATGAGAATATTGTGTCACACCGGGGTTATGAGAGCCACAGCCAATTTCTGCCGACTTTGAAATTGTATTTCCCAACATTGGAAGCTGTGGCCTATTTATTGGTTGTTACAATGTGTAGCATTGGAATTTGGGATTTCAACTGACTGAGTTTTGTTAGTTGGGTTATTTTATTCCCTGAACATTGATGTTTTGTACAGACCAGCCACCGAATAGGAAACTTGCCATACAAGTTGTGTCTTTTTCAAAGTGCTTTGGAGAGCTCATATAAATAGACACTGAGAGAGAACTGGAATAACATAACCACCGAGCACTGCAACTTCCGAGACATCTGTGTGGATGTATTTTGAAAAACCTGGGAAGGGATCTCTTGCAAATTAATGAACAAAGGTTCTTGAAAATATGGTTTCTATCGTGACAGCTGAAAGTGATGGATTTTAAAGATTCATGTGACAATTAAGCTGCTGTTACCTTTGACCCTTAAGGGATAAAGAGGGAAGAGGATTTTCTGGTGGCCTGCTGTAACAACTTGTTTCATTGACCTTTTATATTTTTTATTGATCACCTAATATGATGAGTCCAACCCTGTGATGAGTCCAGGCTGTATTGAAATAATACCTAAGACTCACACAGTCTAGTAGAAAATAAACAGCATGGCAGCAGGGCAAGTGCTATGGTGGCAGCATGTGCAGGATGTTTGGGAAATTAGGAAAGGCCTCACCGAAGTGGGGATGCCTGAGATGTATCCTGAAGGGTGAGCAGCTGTCAGCTAGAGATGGGAGAGGGCATGGGTCAACCATCCACGTCAGAGGAGTGGTGTGCCTTCCTCATGCCTTCTGCCAGATACAGGCCAGCTCCAGAAAATACTGCCAGACTGGAATATCACAAAAAATGGAAATATTTTTTTTGGTGTTTTCCCTTGTTATTCCTTGACTCAACTTGTAACTTAATAATTTGTTTAGTATACTCTTTGTTCTACGTAAAAAAAAATGTATTTGACTTAAAATAGTATATATCATTTAAAAAATTTTATCTGATAGTGTTAGGTTACTTAAAGCATAGTTGACTGATATGAAATGTGAACATATAATAAAAGCCCAGTGAGGAGGAGGAGGAGGAGGCAGAGGGTTGTCATAGTAATTAACATCTCTTAAGTTCATACTTGATATTTTCCAGGCTCTGTGCTAATTGCATCACATCCATTATTTTTTTTTTTTATTGTCTGTCTGGGAGTAGATAGTATGTCTCTTCAAGTCATTAATTTCCTAGTGACTTGCCTAGTGCTTGGCACATAGTAGGAGTTCAATAAATATATGCTGAATTAATGAAAAATAGATATGAATGAGTGGAACAACCCCATGAGGTGAATGCTACTATCATTTCCATTTAGCATGGGAAATTGTGATAGAATGGTCAGTTAATTGACCCAAGGTCATACTACCAATGTGTGACACATCCTGCACTTGAATGCAGATTTATTTCTATTCTATTTTGTCAGATGAACATTTAGTGTATATAATATATGCCAGGCATTGGGCTGGAAAATAATATGGAGCCCTAGACCTGCGTGACCTTTAGGTTTAGTGCAATCATTTTTAAGCCAGTGCTCATTTTGGTTGAAATAAGAATCCTAAGCCTTTTTCCTTTAAAACAAGGAACTTGGATTACTGTCTATATATCCTTACCACCTAGAAAAATATTCCCAATCTTGACTTTCTGTTATTTGTATTATCAAAACAACAGGTTTTTCTTGATTTTCCAGATTTAATGTTATAGTATTGTTTACGATCTTTCAAATGCCATGTGCACAAGATTCTGCAGTCTCCCTTCCCTGCCATTGAAACTCACTAGTCTTCTCGGATACCATGCCTAAGGCTTCCATAGGGATTTTACCACCAGAAAAAGAAACCATCATGAAGTGGCTATATGAGCAATTTAATTGTACAGGTTACTGCATACTGTTCCAATAAAAACAGAGGTGACCCCAAGTTACTTGAATTATGGAATATTTCCCAGACCCCCCAAAACACCAAAAGATAGGAAAAAGTTGCTTTGACATGCACTATAACTTGTGTATTATTAGCCTTTTTTTGATTTATGTCTTGATTAGGCTAATATTTACATTAATCATAGCTTTCCTAAGCACATACCACAGGATAGATTAGAAAATATCCAGAAAAATCACATATGGGCAGAGTTTACCAATTTAGGGTTAAGGGCAGGGGGAAGCTTTGATGATCTTATACATATGAATATTATTTATCACATGTGGGTAGTAGTGAACTACATAGTACTATTACATCTTGGCTCTAGTTTTATAACAATATTTCAGACATTTCACACATACATCAGGGGGGAATTTTTCTCCCCGCTCTCCATGTATTTTGTACTGGTGCTACACTGAATCACATTAAATTGAAATGGTCTGTTTACATATCTATCTTCCTAATAGGTGCTAAATTTCTTATAGGCAGAGGTTGTGTCCTATTCATCTTTGTGTCCTTAGTACCAGCCAGGTACATAGTAGGTGTGCAATAAAGAGCAAATTTCATATGTAGAACTATCTGCAAAACTGAAGTAGATTGGATGTTTGTCGGAAACCTCAGCAAAATTTAGATATCCCATACATTTTTAAAAAGTAAGACATAAATGATGTCTAAAACTTACATGTACTATTATAGTAACGTTTAAGAATCTGCCAGACTGTTTAGGTAAAAAATAATAATTTTTAAAAAATTGAACCAAAGTCGAAGACCATCAGCTGTCATCCATTTGCAAAATCACCATTATCCATCAGCGATCTCAATAGTTTTATTAGTGTCTGACTTTATTGATCCTTTATTACAATAGAGTAAGTGAGATTGAAACTGACGGATTGTTAACTGGATCAGGTAATCTTCTGGCTCTGGTTTTGGCAACCTTGCTAAGTGTCTTTGTGCACTGTGGACTGTGGGAGGCTCTTAGTGAAATTGCAAGCTATTGGATTAATGGCAGAGCATCACGAGCACATTAAGAATGTCTTTTTAGAGAAATAAAATGTGAAAATGACTATAAAGTAGAAAGTGTCAAAAAAAAAAAAGATATCATCATAGTGCCTCTTAGGAAAGATAGCCATATTTTACATAAATAATGCGACTCGAGCTTAGCCTTCTCTGAAGGTTCTTCGGAGATCTCCCAGATTTACATATTACGGAAATGTGTTCATGCTACAAAATTAACACTGATAATGGATGTTGAGAGGATTAATAATAACCAAAAGAGCTTTATATTAGAAGTAGCTTAAAGAAGATAATGATATAAAAATACTTTTGTCCCCAAACTGGCTTTTCTGGTTGTTCACTGCCTCTGAACAATGCTGCCTTCTGTAAACTGTTTCACCGTAGACTCACCGAAGTCTGAAACGTTAAGTTCTCATGTTTCTACGCAGAGAGGTGAGGGACGAATTGGTGCTGCAAAGTTTAATTATTCCCAAGACTCGATAGAAAATTAATTTAGCTGCTACTAGAGAATATGGGTGTTAGGGTTAAAAAGGACTGTGAATCAAGTCGCTGAAATTGCCGTAACCAAAATTTGCTGGGAAGAAAATATTTTTCTTTGTTGAAAATGAGTTTTTAAAAACCCTTCTTCCTACTAATACATTAAAATTATGTCTTTATTTTTTGTATGTTACATGGTTGAGTCTGTTTTCAGGGCTTTTGTGAAAAGCAGGATGAAGAAAAGTGACAAAATAGGTCATTTTCTTTTTTGTGCTATCCTTGAGAAATTTAGTAAGCATGAAGTGTGTATATTTAAAATTTTTATGGTCAGTTTGAAATTCAGAATGCAAGTTTTACTGAAAATGAAGCCAGCAATAAGATTGCAGAATGTTTTTCTCCTGCCAGAGGATCTCTGCGAATAGTTTGTTTCTTCTCAAATATGGTCAGTTTACCTTTGAACAATGTTAATGCACCTCCAGTTGAAATCCTAATAATAGGGTAGAAAGTGCAAGTGATGTTTCTCAAACTTTAATGTGTATGTATATTCCCTGAGGATCTCAGTAAAAATGCAGGTGCTGATTGCCTAGGTCTGGGATAGGGCCCAAGGTTCTGTTTCTAACAAGCTTCCGGGTGATGCCTATATTGCTGGTCCCTGGACCATACATTGAGTAGCAAGGATGTAGAATCCGGTCACTAAACCTCAAAGTAACATATCTTTGTGAATTACAATTATAAAGTCATTTTCACGTACTTGGGTTTATTGGGATCAGTGAAAGTTTGTCAGCCAAGAAATAGATGACATTGATGGGGATTTGACAAATGCTAGAATGAAGTCTGGGTTTAATAGCTTTATACTGGTCTCAGTGAGCTGTTGATTTCTACTTAAATAAGATTTTGATGATGTACTTAATGAATTTTAAGAAGTTGAGGCTTTAGGCTAACGTGGGAAGAATGTACCAGTGTACTCAGTTGATTTAAAAAAATAACAGTCTCCGTAATCGAAATCATTTCTGTGTTCCATCTTGTGCAGCTATATATTACAAATGTTCTCTCCCCCCCTTCATGCAGAGTATGATCTCTTCCATTGTGAACAGCACTTACTATGCAAATGTCTCAGCAGCAAAATGTCAAGAATTTGGAAGGTGGTACAAACATTTCAAGAAGACAAAAGATATGATGGGTAAGCAAAAAACCGTTGCAGCGGTGGTGGCTACATACCATTACGTGTCATTTGGGTGTTTATCAAAGTCACATCTAAAGCCAGGTCTTTTGATTGCCCAATTAGAGATCAATTTAGACTGTTTCTTTGGGGGGTGGGGAGTGGGTATGACTATAATGAGATAATTAAATTCAATAAATGTTTGTGTTTAAATCAGCCAAACTGACTTGGTTGTCAGACATGCAGGAAATCGAGGTGTGAGGAGGGGAGCTGTCATTTTTTAACATCTCAGTGAAGACCTAACCAGGCCTTGAATAACTAATATTAGCTGCGATTTCTCTCAGAGACAAATCATGCTTTTAGGTTTTTGGTTTTTGTTTGAGAGAAAGGGAAAGTGCCTATTTTTAAGGAAACTGAACTGCATTAAATTTATTAAATTAAACTGTATTTATAGTCTCCACAGTTGAGATCAAGTGATTTTTGTAGCTGTATCTCCCAGCCCCCATAGACAGGCACTTTGGTGAGCACACTGCTTTGCTGTCCATACCAGAAAAATCAGTGCATCATTTCTAAACTTTTAATTCCCGTGAGGCATCCTATCTTAACATGTAACTTCAGATCAATATGTGTTATGCAGGAAATACATTAAAATTATCTGCATTGTAAAATGACAGATAAAAGTTGTATGTTGTACCTAAGCATTTAGATTACGGCATTTTCTCCCTATTGAGATTGTTAGTGTTCACGAAAGCAAACACTGTGATTAAGGTTAATGTTTTAATTTCTATTAATGTTTTCTTTCACATACTTGTAGCTTCCATATTTTAAAATAATATAGGAATGGGATGTTTAATATGCATAGCATTATGGCCCGTTTTAAATCTATTTCTGTTTACCTCTATTACATTCATTTAATAATAACAACAATTTTTCCTAAAGATTTTAAGAAACAAGAGAAGCCGAATTTTGAGCATGTTTTAGCTTTTAATATTTGAAGAAAAACCATCTATCTACCAAAACAGATTCTTTGCCTTTTATAGCTTAGGGCTGTAATGAAGACAATGCATCATTTTTGGAATAATTGCTTGAATTACTATTCTATGTGAATGGCCCACTTGGGCTGGTATCACGGGTAGAAATGGAAGGTTTCTTCCCCAATTCTTAGTTATATTCTGCATATATCAGTGACGATAGCAATATGATAAGTTCCTCTAAATATAAAACCTGCATATTTAATGGTAAGAGAAATGATGATTAAAATCAAATCAGAGTCTATATACATGGGAAGTCAGTGTCAATTTGGAAAAACCTAAACACATGCAGCTCCATGCTCAGCCTTGCCAGTCAAGAGCATCAAGCCAGTTTCCTTCTCATAGTAGCAAAGCATTTACACCCTTAGAGCTGACGTTCAGCCGATCCACCTGAGGGATCTAGCTAAGGGAGAAACATTCATCCTGGGTGGGTGGGAGTAAATTGCAAAACCTTGACAGAATAATCATTGTACCAGCACAATTCCCCAACCTGTTCCTTGCAAGATTCTTTTTAGTATCTGGCGATAGCCATAGCTCCTGGAAAAAATATTTGGGTCTTAGTAACACTGGGTATATTCTGGGTATACTGGCTTACCGTATAATAAATCTACTTGCTTTATTTGAAATAATATTTGCAGATACACCTACTACCCCATGATGGTTAGAATTAAATGAAACAAGCCATATAAGATACTCAGCAAAGCAGTCAGTATACACTCAGTTATTATTACTTATTGTGCCCATTTTTTGATTTCTTTATTATATTGACTGCATCTTTATATTCACTGCTAGGTAAACATTGAATGTAGAACATTTTATGTCACCTTTTTTCTATAACACCTTTTGCCTAGAGTGCTAAAGTTAATGTGTATCATGAAAAAATATTTGTAAATTTCTTTAGTTGCTTATTATCATAAGCTTATTTTCCTAACTCACCATTTCTTGTTGCCATTAAGCAAATGACATTCTTCTAGCAGCCATTTAAAAATAAACATCATTGCTTATGAGCCTTCTCGGGGTAATAAGTGAGAGTGAATAACTAAGCACAAAGAATTTGAATATAATTGATTTTATGTCTTAAACCACATTTTAAAAAATGAAATCAAAGGTGTTGTCCTACTTTGAAAGTTTGTGGAATTGTTCGGAAGAGGAAAACAAAAAGCCTGGTGGTGAGTTCCATCTTGAAATGGTCTTGGTTTCATTGGATCTTTGGTGTGCCCCGTGTCTACTGTACTGTCTCTTTGCATTTAGGAAATGATCGGCAGTCCTTATCGATGCCCATCGTTGTTGGCTGAGTACTATTTTACTTTTTGTTCACTTTAGTTGAAATGGATAGTCTGTCTGAGCTATCCCAGCAAGGTGCCAACCACGTCAATTTTGGCCAGCAGCCCGTCCCAGGGAACACAGCTGAGCAGCCTCCGTCCCCCGCGCAGCTCTCCCACGGCAGCCAGCCCTCTGTCCGGACCCCTCTTCCGAACCTGCACCCTGGGCTTGTGTCAACGCCTATCAGTCCTCAATTGGTCAACCAGCAGCTGGTGATGGCTCAGCTGCTGAACCAGCAGTATGCAGTGAATAGACTTTTAGCCCAGCAGTCCTTAAACCAACAATACTTGAACCACCCTCCCCCTGTCAGTAGATCTATGAATAAACCTTTGGAGCAACAGGTTTCAACCAACACAGAGGTGTCTTCCGAAATCTACCAGTGGGTACGTGATGAACTGAAACGAGCAGGAATCTCCCAGGCAGTATTTGCACGCGTGGCTTTTAACAGAACTCAGGTCAGTTTTGTTCTATTTGTAAATGGTTTTGCTCTCTTTTCCCTCTCCCCTCTCTTCTTTTTTTAGTCCCATCCATACTAAGGTTCATTGTTTTGCTCTGTACTAACATTTTATCTTTCTCTTTATGTGATCATATTGCCTGTTCCCGGTGGTGTCTCAGTTTTATTACTCCTTTCCCTGTGATATGCCTCCTGTATCAAGGGACAGCTATGTACAGATTGATCCCAATTCAGGGGCATTGAAAAAATAAATATAAAAAATGTTGCAAACTGGCATCACTTATGCTTTTATATAATGGAATCATAAACTGTTAGTAGTAGAAGGTTAAGAAAAGCTTCATGCCTTGAGCAAGGCCATTGGCAGGGATTCCAGGCTTCTAGCCTAATGTCTTTTTCATGTTACCACCCGTATCAAACTTAAGTATATAAATGTCCCCTGTTGAAGTTCTTCTACAGCTTTGTTTTTTAACACCTTGGAAAGCAATTTCTGGCATTTAATTTTAAGCAGCCATTTTGCAAATATTATATGGCTTATAATATAAAATGTTTCTTAGCTTTACCCCTCATGTTGTTAGTGTTCTTCCAAACCTCGTTATCTAGACCAGGGATCAGTAAACTTTGTTCTGTAATAGACCAGATAATAAATATGTTAGGCTTTGAGGGAAGGGACATAAATTCTCTGTCACATTGTGGAGTAATAAGCAGCCACAGACAATAAATAAATGGGTGTAGGTGTGGTGATATTTCAATAAAACTATTTACACAACAGACCCAGGTGGGTCTGGCCTGCCAGTCTTAGTTTGCAGCCCCATTTTTAGATTTCTCACTGAGATCTGCGCATAACCCCAGCGTTTATACCTCTGTCCTTCTGGGCAAATTCCTATGAAGATATTATCTATCAGCATGGGAGATATTTAAGAGGGACATAGAAAAAAGGTGATACTTGCTATGAGAGAAGTCATAAGATAGATTTTTGAGAAGCCCTAAACAGATTGATTCTGTTAAATTGTGAATGAACGGAATTTTTTTTTCTTTGTTTGGAAACTAGTATGATATATATGGTGTTTATTTTGGGCCCAGGCACACACTAAAGAAACAAAAGAAACAAAACATGTAACTTTTATGAGAATGAAGACATTAAATCTTTTCAACTTTCTTGTTTTACCACTGGTCTTTCTTTTGTCGGTTTATTTTTGGTTTTTGGCCTCACTCATACTCTCCTCTCACATTTTAGTTATTTTGTTTATTACATGATTATAAGAATAAAATTCTGGTACAAAAATAATCTCGTATTAATTCCTTGTTGGCAGAGTTTCCATACCTAGGAGAATCCCAGCTGTGACTTATTTTTGGCTTGCCTTAACTAGATTGGGAGTTAGGAGACCTGACAAAGCCTTTAATTCAGTGTTTGTTTTCAGTTTCTTCATCTGTTTTTTGTACATGATTTGTCTATTTTTAAAAAGGCAGTTGCACAAGGTTATGCCTCAGGTTAAAATTGTATGGTTTTACCTACTTCCATATTTTTAGAGCTTAAAAAAGCTGTGTTCCTTATTAGCTGGTAAACTTAACATGACAGCTATATTCAGTTGGGGGGTAATAACTATTGAAAAATATGAATGAATCAAAAGTCAACTTTCTAGATGTTCCTGTATCTGGTAGCGCTTGTTATTTTTGTAAATACAGTAATTAACTAGTAGTTCTTGGCGCTGAGCAAAATAAATAAATGAATAAATAAAAAGTCTCTATATAAAAGTCCAATAATGCATGTTGAATTAAAAGCACCTGAAAAGACCTGGTGTGGTGGATCACACCTGTAATCCCAGTAGTTTGGGAGGCTGAGATGGAAGGATCAGTTGAGCCAAGGGATTTAAGAGGAGCCTGGGTAACATAAGGAGACCCCATCTCTACAAAAATTTTGTAAAAATTAGCTGAGTGTGGTGGCACTTGCCTGTAGTCCCAGCTACTCGGGAGTCTGAGGCAGGAGGATTGCTTGAGCCCAGGAGTTCGAGGCTGCAGTGACCTATAATCATCCCACTGCACTTTAGCCTGGGCAACAGATCAAGAAGCTGCCTTTATTGGGGAAAAAAAGCCCCAAAATACAACATTGACATAGACACAAATGACGTATATGTTTACTGATAAGTGTTTTAAAAATTGAGCGAATGAACGGCAGAATTTTCTCTCTTTTTATACCATATTAATCTCTTTGAACGGGGCCCTCTCTGTGGTTAACATCAAAAACAGTGACTTCATTTTTCTGAGGGTGAGCAGAGAATGAAAACCTGGTACAACTTGATACAGATACCTCTTTAGTAATAACAGCCAATTTAGAAAAAAGTCATTACCAAAAATTATTTAGAGCCCTGGGTTATAAAGGGATTTGGTTTTAAACCTTTATATTGATAATTAGCACTCATCAGTAGAAATAGATGTTGGGCCATATTTGAAGCTGTTTGATTTAAATAAGAGTAATTTAGTATGTATATTTAAATGTTCACTCTTTGAGAACTAGCTTTTGCACATGCATGCATGCGTGTATTTTCAGTGGTCATACTTAACCACACACACAGCTGCATTTATTTTAATGATTATGCATTCATATGAATGCATGTAGTGTGTTTATTTCAAAGTGTATGCATTTCAATAAAAGCAGGTGCAGAGTGAGTATGGTGTGAGTGTGGAGTACGAAAATACACATGCTAATGCATATGTATGGACAAGGAGCTTTGCAGAGTTAAATCGCACATCACACATTTGTGTGCACTTATTACAACGTGCAGTTCCAACTCCAAGTTTAAAAATATTCATGTAAAATGTGTACATACAAAGTTGTATGATGTGGTCAGATAAAGACATACCCTATAAACAGTATGTTTAAAACATTAAAATAATATAGGTAACACTGTTTTGAATTGAGAATTATTTCAGTCATTGACAGAGCTATATAACTTTAAAATGCTGTGTCTTATATTTTTCAACTCTTAATTGAGAATTTTCTCATCATCTTAATAGGGTCTGCTAAATTAAAACATAACCCTCTCTTAAGACTTTCACACATGACTATTTTTTTAAATCTATCTTTTCTGAAAATTTGTGGTGAAATTTATATAATTACTTGTTTTAAGAAATTTTCCCCCTTCTGAATTGATGGGGCATATGTTCTTTAATTGCTATTGAAGATATCAGCTTTCAGCATATGCCATTCATTCAGTTATGCCTACTTGATGTCTTTTTAATGGAAACCTATGGCTAAAAGTAATTGTCAAGGCTTCTGGATTTATACTTTTTAATTCACCTCTCTGTATTATTGCTATTTAAAGGTTGTGATAAATGAAGATATATTCTTTAGGCCCTTTGGCTTTTAAAAAAATAAAACCCATAGTTTAACTCTGGTCCTGCTCTGTGGCTTTTCCCCCTTTTTCTCCTCCCGCCTCTTGTGTTTGGCGCACTTTATTTTCCAGTAAAATAAAGAATGAAGATGGATTATTCAAAACTGATAACAGTAATGGACCATCATGTAATGTTTTATTGAATTTGAGTTCTGTAAATTATGTGGTGGAGAGAAATTTGCCTGCTTAAGTATAACAGAAATTGCTACTGTGTTCCTATAATTCTTCACAGTGTAATTTAAGAAAAGTCCACTATCCATATCACTATTGAATAAAAGGTAAAAAGGTGCTATTACCCCAACATGACAGCTCTCGATTAGCCTACCGAACGACAGAGATAAATGTGCCTACTTACAACTTACTTGGCACGACTCCAAGGTAGTGGGTGGGGTTTGAAAATCGTCTTTCACCTGAACTTGTGATTAAAAATTCACCAAACAACAGAAGCAGGTAGCCTTGAAGGGTGTTCTATGTATTTTCTTTTTTGGAGGGAGGTTTCATCAAATCGTATTTTCTTTCTGAGGGCTTTGAAGTTCCATGAAGCTGATAAAATCTATTTGAATCAGTGATTATGTTCAAAGAGGAGACAAACGGGAGGCCAGACAGGCTTTTTGTTCAGATTGGCAGTCTCTTTCGCTTATCTGCTGGTTTAAAGAATTCATAATTAGCTTTTGGAAGTACTGATAATATTTATTGAAGGTTTTCTTTCTTTTACAATTACTAATGAATTTTACTTGTAATAACTTGTAAACTCTTTTTGGAATGTAAAAAAAAGCTAGGAATTCATCAGTAGATTCATTCTTTAATTGAAAAAAAAAAAGAGAATTCTCACTTAACCACTATGTAATGACAATGCAAAATAATTTTAAGTTTTCATATATACACCACACATATAATTATTGGTAAGATGTAAAGTCCAATGAAAGGCAGTTTCTTATTTCCAATAAAATTAATATTCACGAGATGCTAGTAACTTCCCACATAACATACAAGTTCTCAAGTTCTTTTCAGAAACAAGAGTGACTTAACAGTTTGGTTAAATTTAGTTCACATTTATTGGGCACCTATGATGCAAAATATTGATATGTTTTAGTCCTGGTGTTTGGGTATATTTTATGGCATAACAAGTAAGGGACATAATGGCCTTGATTTACTATTTTTTAACATGAAGGAGAAGTTTTGGTAAGAGGCCCCTCTTATTATGCACTGTGGGAGATTACTACAAATGACCTTGGCAATTCTGTACTGTACATTCAACTATAGGAAACAGGAAGTGGGGGCCACATACATCTTGAATCCATAAATGTGGCAATTTAAGTAATAATGACCCGAACAGGACAGGAACATACATTGTCATATCTGGGTTCTGAAAGCAGTCATTTTGCATCCAGAATTATTCTAAAGTGACTGAATTTTTTTTTTTTTTTTTTTTGGTAATTAACGCTGATCAAAATATTTTCTAACAATATTTTCAAGCATTTCCACCAGGGGGCACTCCCCTCATTGAAAGCTCTGGGCCAAAAGAGAAAAAAAAAAAAAAGACCCAAGGTTTTTAAAAATACCTCAGACTGTCTACACTGGCTACTTTAAAGCTCTTTGAGTGTTCCAGGGTTTGAAATGTTGCTTCAGACCATCAACATATTTCAGGCAGAAAAACTGCACTCGTTCCAGTAGGATAATTAATTTAAGTGGAAATAAAATGCTTTGCCCCTAAAACACTTGTGTGCTGAAATGGGAGGTCACACCAACATTGAAATATGGATAGAGAACTTATTAAACTCTCTCCTAACGGACTTGCTATCTTCTACTGGAAGCTGTATAGGGATGACTTAGTTTCATGTTAGCAAGACTTGAGAAAGAATATTATCGTGTATTTTTTCATGTATTTGGTTTTCTCATTATAGGTCTTTGCTGCTTCAGGAAACATTTTTGATAGAAATATTTTTGATAGAAATTTGATAGAAATATGATAGATATATTACTATGTTATTTAATATTTTTAAATGTCTTATTTCAAGTTTCCCAAAAATAATAACATCCTAAATATTTATAGGATATCTTTGGCCCTCATCTATTTTTTTTTTTTTTAGTTGTTAAACAATTAGTGTAGAGGAGCATTTCACAAAATGCCACATAACTTTTCATCGAAGGCCCACCATGATGTTAATAGTTACCGTTAGAATTTACCCATGGGTAATATATCTTGTTCTTAAGTTTCTGTCACCTGTTTGTGAATTTTTCCTTTTGTGGTTCAATACACACAATCCATTTAGTGAACAGCTATCAAACATTTTTGTGGTAGGCATTGTGCTGGGATGACAAAATGAATATTAGATTATACTCAAGGAATTTATAACATTGTATTTATGTATACTGGATGTTTGTATCTATCTTCCTATTTCTGTGTATTTGATATGTATTGCTTTGCCAGGAGCATTGTTTTAATGGATAACGCTTGGTAGAGAAGGGTAGAGAGCAAGGGCTATTTAATTATTCCTATTTTCAAAAATTTTTTTTTAAGACCTGTATGTTTTGGTTCCAATATGACACATCAGGAACACAGTCAATCTAATTAGTTGGCCTTGTGCAAATTAAATAACTGGATGATTGACTGCCTGTTTGACTGAATTTTAGTTAAATTGACTCAGTGTTTTGCTCTAGTGTAGACACAGTTGCAGCATTTTCTCTCGTTAGCACCGTGAATGAAAGGACATGTGCCCTTCATTCTTCATCGACATTTCTTAGGGTAAAATGAAAAGTTCAGGTCCAATTTCCAAGCTTTGGTTTCCATAAACCAAGTGAGAGACAACTTTAAAATTGACTATTAAGCCTCCTGCTCTTGTTGGAGGTTCTTTTTAAATACCAGTGTATAAATCATTTTAACAGGTGGACAGTGCTTTTATATTATCTGCACCCAACTGTTATATTTAGGCAATATGTTACATTATCCTTGAGGAATTGGAAACAAAGCCAGGTTCTAGGAAACCATGAAGAAAACCCAACTGTTACATCCTTGGGGCTTTGTTGTTTTGACATGACACTTTACCTTTCTTTCCCCAGGGTACCCTTTAACCATTTCTGCAGGTTATTGGAAAGTAGATTTACAAATTATATAGAAATTTTGATAAAATTTTATTATGAATTATATTGTGAGAAGCTGATATTCTGGCTGAGTTAAGAAGCTAAATGTGTCGTAGTATTCCAAGCATTATTTTATGTACGAGGTTGAATAGATAAGGGCTGCTTAGCCCTTATAAAATAGACACAAAGGTTTTTAGGACTTTTGTTTCATATTACCTCCTAAACATGTTGGGGAAAACCACCCATTTTTGAAAGAGGTCTTGTAAAAGTTAAAAGAAAAATTAGTTGAAAACTAATGTTTTATTATTTGGGGGAAAGATACCTTAAAAAGGTTTTCTATTGGTTTGTAAATTTCTATCACTAATAATTGTTATTCCTTAGGAAATATGATAATTATAAAATTTGATAATATTCTTTTCCTTGGCATGCTATGATGGATTTCTGCAGTGAGGAAAAGTGGTTATGTATTTCTGATTTATGTATGGTTTCTGAAGTTCAGAGTTTTAACCTGTTACCCAGCAGTGTCATACGACAAGATAGTATTTACAGTCATTTGGGATAGTCAGCGTGGTTCCCTTTAAATAGTAAATTGAAAGGGTCACCTGGTGTCATTTATGTTGATAATTTGAAGATTAAGGAATAACTGAAAACATTACCCATGAAAATGTAGCATAAATCTTAGGTAATGCTTTGGTAATACTTTTCTTTTTTTCTAATATGTTACAATTCATTTTCTGGTATTTTCTTTGAAAGTTCTACTTCTCTAGAAATGGCTTTGTATCTTTACATATTGGGCTGCTGGCATTCCCCTGCCTTTGTTTAGGCAGCTTGAGAACTATACAGTTCAATGCTGTTGTATTATGAGGATTTCATTTATTCCTAACTTCCCCGGATCTCTGTGAAAGATTTCATGGCAAGTTAAGCTACTCAAAGGAAGGAGACCAATTAGGCAGTTTCAGTTTATGTTATATGTAAAGCAGATGCTTAATAAAATTAAGAATACAATTGAGGCTCTCTTCTCCACCACTTCAATTGTAACTAATATATTCCTATGCAGAATTAATGCCTCTGACTGTTCATTTTCTAAACAGAGTGGAGAAGAAAAGGGAAGCAAGCTCACCCTGTGCCTTTCATTCCCCGCAGGGCTTGCTTTCAGAAATCCTCCGAAAGGAAGAGGACCCCAAGACTGCATCCCAGTCTTTGCTGGTAAACCTTCGGGCTATGCAGAATTTCTTGCAGTTACCAGAAGCTGAAAGAGACCGAATATACCAGGACGAAAGGGAAAGGAGCTTGAACGCTGCCTCAGCCATGGGACCTGCCCCACTGATAAGCACACCACCCAGCCGCCCTCCCCAGGTGCAGTCTCCTCTTCCTCCTTGCCATTCTTCTCTGTTTTGCGTTTTTTGTTTTAACGTTTGAGAAAGAACATTAACAAGAAATTAGATAGACATATAGATTTAGATTTAATAAAAAAAACTCGTAGAGTTGCTTGAGGAGAATTTCATCCCAAATCCCTAGTTCTGATATAAAAACAATAAGCTACTAATTAGATAGAAGAAAGAAGATTACTTAGTGCTGCTTCATTCCTTGGGTTCTTTGGGGGTGAAAGTAGTCTTTAAATGGGATATTTGTCTCTACTTCTGTTATTAAGTAAAGAACTACTTTAAACTCAATAGGAATTAAAAAAAAAAAAAAGAATAAAGTCAGTTTTATCCCGGCCAGTTTTAGAACTGCCATTTGAATAGTAAATAAATAAAAATAAATAATTGCATTTGTATGTGTGCTTCCCAATACAAACTGCAGCTGGTACCAATTACACATCATCTCATTTGTAATCTTTCATAATTAAGTTTAATACAATCCTTGAAGACAGCTTTAAATGGGGCTGATAAGGAATTCTGTCCATATTCCCAGAAATGGGCACATTTTCTTTTTCTCCAAATTTTATACTTTTTAGGAGGGAAAAAAGTCACCTTCCAGGTAACTTGTATGTGCATCTGTATTGTTATTCTTTAAATAAAGTTTAAAAAGTAGCCTCATAACTATTATGAGAATTCAAGAAATTAATTTTCAGCATGAACTATTAGATAAAAGTTAGGTAGTTAGTAGATAAGACTCAAAATTCACAAGCAAATGTGTTTTCTTAAATGTTTAATTTATGGCATGCACAACTCTTAAAAAAGTAAGGTCAGATAAAACTGGGTAAAGATTGAATATAGAAAACAAATTCAGAGTATTCATATACCATAATGTCATAATGAAATTATATCTTGATGTTAATTTCTTTTCATCAATGGTAAAAACTAATCATGCATTTCCAAGTATAGAAATCTAGAAAAATCCTATTCAACACTAAAGAAAGAAACTGCTACAGATATTCCAAAAATAAGAAATAGATATTCAGCCACTTGTTGAGGATCTTAAACTGCTTATCATAGTGTTCTGAAATGATTATTTTTAAGAAACATCACACAAATCCATTTTCTTCGTTTTATTTGATGAAAATCAATCTGGTCTGGATATCTATAGGAGCAGACTGTAAGGAAATCATTGCTGTAATTATGCATAAGAAAGTCATGTTTCTTTAGGAGAAAAGAATGGCATCTATATACATATACACATCTGCCTGCCTGCACACAAACAGTTATTGAGTTTGCTCTGTAAAGCCTCCTATAAAATATTTCCTAAAATAAAGAATGAGGAAATCTTCATATATGTGTGTGTATGACTTGTAACAGTGATTAACAGAATATAGTATACTTTGCATTTGGTTTAATACTTTTTCTGCAATGTTTAGTGTTAACACACACACCTTTATTAGTTAACTTTGCTCCTATAGTCATCACTGACATGGCTCTGGGCAAAGAGTTATTTTACTTACCACTTAATCTCCAATACTAATAAAAGAATGGCTAACTTAAGACCAATATGAGCTTCAACACTGAACTTCTTTTTTTTTTTAATCTATCTAAATATTTGACTTAGTGGTTCCTTAAAACAGCTTTTGTTTTCTAATTTTTCTAAAATTTTAATGGTTTTGTTTTCCAAATGTGGTTCTGCTATCCTTGTTGATCAGGTTTTTTTCTTGAGCCAAAGTTACACTGATTCTGATTATTAATTGATATCTCTTTTCATATACTGTAGATTTCCTATGAATATGTTTAAAGGCCTTGTTAGCTAGAAAGTTGAGATAGAAAATGTATATAATTTGTTTTGGCTCTGATTATTGATTAACTGGTTGAGTCACCCTAAGCCATACTTGTTTGTTCTCAGGAGGAGTTGAGACCAAACCTATGGGTAGTCTGCCAATGATGAACATATACAGTATGTAGATACTGAAGATTTTTAGTGAAACTCAAAGAAATTGTTTCTATTAATGCCATATTACTGGACATCTAACTAATTTCCAAAATGATTATCTGATGTGTGTATGTTTTAGTTCACTGCTGTAATATAAATCTTTAAGGTATCTTATTTGCCTCACAGAGAATCTCTTTGCATTATTTAATACTATTATAATAGAACTCACTACCAATTTGTTCACATTTTATCCTTTAACAATAATTTGATGAATTAAATTTTAAGAAATTCTAATGTATTATAGGTATTGTCAGTGCAAAATGAGTAGATTTTCAAAAACATGTTAAAGAGGAGTTGAATTAGTAGTATTTTTCAGCAGTTGAAATCAGATGCTTAAACTGGAACTAATACACCACACATAAGATTTTAATATGCTTATTACAAATAACTAAAATGAAGGGAAAAAATGGAAGAAACCTCAGATACAGAAACAGACTGCAAAATTTTGTCTTAATTATATATTTTACCATGGAGGAATCTATATGAAATTACTATGCATTGTATTCCCCCAAAATGAAAAGATTTGAAACATATTTTTGAGACAAATCTTGAGCTTTGGTTTGATTTTAACCCTGATTTCTTTCTAAAGAACTGCATGTTAAAGGCAGAGGCTCTTCGTGGTTCACAGAAAACCCAGGCCACCTTTAGGCCTGAAAGACTCCCAGCTCCTTGTAGAGTATAAAACATATATAAGGTGATTTTGGAATGCCCCCGGGGCATACCAGACTGAGGACTCCCAACTCTTGAGAGGCTTGGATTCTAAGTCATCTTCGAAAAGGGACTTCTCTGGTTATTCAGGCTGCAGTTATAGTTCCAGGAATACCTCACCTGGGCACACCTCGACGAGCGTCAGAAAACACCAGAGCTCTTGGCTGGTCCAGCCCAGGTGAGATGCCTCTTATGCAGAGGCATCCTTTGTTTGTACTCTGGTAGGGCCAGCCATGTCATGTGCTTTGTCCTCTGCCTGGGGCAGTAGGCTCTGGGCCAGACGTGTTTGCTAAAAGCATATTTTCACAACTTTATATGCTCCAATTTGAGCAGTAAGAATATCTTGCACTTGATAATGGTTCACAGTTTTCTAAGCACCTTTACGTACATTAATTTGTTGAATCCTCATACCAACCTTTTGCTAGGAGAAAAATGAGAAAACCAAGTCTAGGGTTTAGTCAAAGTTTTGAAATCCCCTGTTAAGTCCGTTGCTCTTTCCTCTCTACCTCAAACAGCCTCCTCAAAATACAAACAGATTTACTTTATTTAGCAAGGGGGAAATGAAACTTGGGGACTTTTTTCTGTTTGTCATAGAGGATAGAAAGTTTTATTGTTAGATTGGGAAGAGGAACATATAGGAGGGCATTGTCCTGATAGATAAATGTTTAATAAATGATTCACTTGGGAAGACTTTGGACAACAGTGTTTCTGAGTTTGTGGATGAAATAGCTCCTTCCAAACTTTGTTCATATAAAAATGTCTGGGAGAACTGGTAGAACCACCCACCCCTGCAAAGTTCCCTGGTCTTCTTAAAGGTTTCTTTTCTGACTATGCTTTGCAAACTTTCCTGATGAGTTTATTAGAGGAATTTTATTAATAATGATTAATGATTATTTTCTGAAAATGATCTGTTTTACATAGCAGTTCAGTTTTAAGTGATGATTTCTACCTTAGGTCTATGCTTATCTTGGTTTTGTGTATTTTAATATGTGTGACTTTTAGAGTTAAATTAATTTAGCAATTTCTGTTTCCATAAAGACTGTTTGAAAGCATATAATTATCAAGTTAGAATTTTTACATGAATTATACAACTCTTTTTTTCTTCATTTTTTACATCTCTTTATGTCTTTAGTTCCTTCTAAACTGAAGTATGTTGTTTTATAACAAATGCTTTAGAAAATTTATAAAGGTCATGTAAGGAATACACAATCTGATAGCTGTATGTTCCATTTCTTTCCAACAAATCCGTCTATAATATAATGAAACATAGGTCCATCTTGATTTCAGGTTCAGTTACAGGCAGAAACTTCACACTTGATAAAAGTATTATTTATTATGAATCCTTTGAATAATATCATTTTAAGATCTCACATGCTTGTGAAATGCTTCCCATTAATGGTCATCTTTTAAAAGCTAGAGGACTTCTAAAGTCTAGATTTGGAAAATAATTATTATTGTTCCTAAAAAATAAGGAAATCTCTAAGAAGATTAAACCTGGCCCTAAAGACAATGTTAATATATAAAAATTTGAGAGTGGGAAATATTTTCTCTCACCAGTAAACATCCACAGAATATGACATTTCTTATACAACGTTACTAAAAAAAATTTATGGTTTGCATACCTTGAAAAATAAATTCAGGTTGGACCTTAAGATTAATTCAAAATTAGACATTAATGAGCTAGATTTGCCAAAGGGCCACCAAAACGCAAGTCCAGCCTGTTTTAAGAAGAATTTTTTCCAAGTAAAGAAGGCCTGTATAACATTATGAACTCAGTACAACTCTGTGGTTTCTAAGATAAGCACTAGCATCAGACACACTGAAGTTCAGATCTTAGCCTCATTCCATGGACAAATTACTTAACCTCTTTGTTTTAAGGGTTTTCTCAATTTTAAAATAGGGCAATCATAGTACCTATTTAGGGTTGTTATGGAGGTTAAGAAGTTAACAGACATTAACACAATGCCTAGCACATAATAAACAACTAATAAATGTCAGCCTTTATTCTCATAATTATTGAAACTACATAAAATGTTAATTTCATGTGTTTGAGAGCAATGTGCTTGCAGGCATTTTTCCTCATGCATCAATGAGTAGTACATTCACCAATCAAGGCCAGGGTAGAGTTCATCTTTTGTAACCTTAAAAGTTTGATTTGGTGCTTTTAGCAACCCATGAAGAAGCAAAAGAATTTTCACGGAAGCTTTGTGTTCTTCTGCAGAATTTTAGCGAAATAAAAAGCAGACCCTGGTGCTGCACCTTGTCCCCACGTGGAAGGGTAAATAGTAGAAGCTCCAATTCTTAACTGCTTCTCCGGCGCCGCCTTAATAATGGAGTAGTACACTCTACCTTGATAAAAGCTATTCTGAAAGCAACTGCATTTATTTTACCTCCTGAGCTATTTGCGGAGGAGAACTGAAGAGTAGTTTGTTTTGCCTGGAATGAACTACTTTATGAATTTTAATGTGTGATATAATATTAAAAGCTAAACCAGGATTAAAGAAGATTTTTTTTGTACTAAGCTAAAATAGTACTTAGTAGAGTGAGGTATAAAAGATTTTTGTTTCCATTTTTACCTGGGGAAAAATTCAGCTTTCATATTTTTGAAAAGCTGTCCAAGTCAGTTCCCCTTAAGCAATAGCTTGTGTTTAGGAGAAAAATGTGATTCCAGAATTCTAATAGCTTATCTTTGATAAGATGCATATCTGGGCCAACAAGATGGTATAGAGGAGCTTTTTAAATATTTTTAAAATGAGTAATACAGAGAGACTTTTTAACTTTATGTTTTTTAAAGTTTTGTCCTCACTTAAAAAAATTTTTTTTTCATATGCTCTTGTTTTCCACTTCTGTTTTGACAATGTGGGCTATTAGGAAATGATTATTTGATTTTTTTATGATTTAGGATTCTTGCTTTTTGGTTCAAGTTATAATTGTTTATAATAATAAAAAAAAAAAACCAAAGAAATTTTTAGAAAGAAAATCACAGGGTTAAGACAAATGATTATAGCCCACCTCAAAGAAAAATTCCTCAACATAATTTTTACAAAAGAATGAAAATTATTTTAAAAGCAGACCAAAACACCAAGTCCCCAAAGCCTGCTGCTCTTAGCTATTGCTAAGCAGATTGCTACCAAGGAACTGTTTTCTTCCTAGGCACTGGACTTGGTGCCCCCATTTCCATAACATTCAATTTTCAAAGCAATTGAAATGGCTTTTCTTTTCTCTTTCATTTAAGCAGTGAGAAAGATAGGTATTAAAAGGGGACCCCATGGTGTGATCAAATCTATCCCTCTGCCTCAAAGCAAGACCACCCCAGAGCAAAGTTTCAAATCTCACCAAAGCAACTTTGTGGGCAATTTATGGTAATGCGGTAACTCTTCTGGCTCCTAAAGTGGTATTTAGCAGATTATTGCTTCAAAGCCCTATATGTGTTCTTGGTGGCCTCCAGTCATTAATACACCTCTGTGAGTGCCCTTGCTTACTACAGTTACAGAGCGAGCAAGGGAACCCTGGAGATCTAGCCTAGACTCTTGTGGTCGTTCCTGTCTCCAGTTGGTAGTCTAAAGGAAGCAGTGGAGGCCTCATGGGTTGGTCCGGCTTCATCTGCTGTGTCCTCTTCAGGCGTGTGGTCCAGCCAGTTCCTGGCATTGTCTTTTCGGTGCTTAGAAGGGTAGTGTCCTGGTGGAAGAAATTACCCCTCTTCTCAAGATAACCAAGAGGTGAATTATTTTGCTAACTGGCTATTAGTTTAAAGGGATTTGGAAGGTACATTTTCAAGGGGACTCGTATTTACCCTCTAAGTACAAAGAATTGAATAGAGTAACATTTGCCCCTCTTTTCATACCAAATATTTTGGGGAGAGGGTGGAATAAACTTGGAAGACTTGTGGCTTGACTAGAAGGATATGTGATTTAATGCCGAAAAATTACGTTTATCCTAAAATGCAGTTCATTTTCATATTGTTCATAGTTTATGTGAGAAGCTGTCCAGGATGGTAAGTTTCTAGAGGACAAACACCTGAGTTCTGTAAAGTACCCTAAGAAGTGAGGTCCTTAATTGGAACATTTTGCTGAGAGAAACATGGTTCCTGTATCTGTAGTAATTTTTCATTTATATTTTCATCAATTTCCTAGTAAAAAATTAGTTACATAGTTCATATATAAGTTTTCCAGGCTGGTTCATGCACTGAATAATAAAAATTAAATTTGGAGTTTTAAAAATTAGTAATAGTAACAATACATTTTGAGGTTGATTTTATTTTTCCTTTAAAATTTTGTGGCATTTTCCTGCCATTATCTGCTTATCATTATTACTAAAGGCATTGATCCTAAGTTTTTACTCAAGATTATACATTTTGCATATATTTGTAAAGTCCCTGATTATGTATTTTGTATAACTTACAGTATTGTTCTATTAAACATTGTGGAACATTTTCTTATTGTCTGATTTCTCAAGTCAAAAGGAAATAGTTATATACAGGGGTGCCAGGAAAAGATGAAATAATTATACAGAACAGCTTGGACATGCACGTGTAAAATGCAACCAGCCTTTATGATAATTAAGCAAGGCACTATACCTGTTTCATGGATGGATAGAAGATTTAAATATGCAGTTCTGCAAATGGCTTTGTTATGGAAGATTTTTAAAATGAAACATAAGAGGAAAAGGCATAAAAAAGAGTCTAAAATTAAAAAGGCCATAGTATGTAATAGCTATTAGTGATGCAATTGTCTATTAGGCACTGGGTACCCAGTGAAGATACAGCACTGTGCATTATAATTTTAATTGTGAATTTCCTTTGTTAGGATTGCAATGGAAGGTAATTGGGAGACAATTAGTTTAGGGTTTTCAAGTCTTTGAAACTATTCTGTTTTCCAGAAAACTTACTTTATGGCATTATAATTCCTGGTTGTCAGCTGGCAGTTGCTGTCATATTACAGATGCAATCACCTGTGACAATGTGACTTCCTTAACTTAAGCAATCTGATCTCGGGGCAATAACTAATGTTGAATGACTGCACTGTTGATCACCTTGATCATAAAAGGAGCAACAATGTCCAGTTTGGATGCTGAGCCTGAGAAGCTTCAAAACAATTTGGCCAATGAAAAATGACAGCCATGTTCAAAATGTTTTGTAGGTGAAAACAGCTACTATTGCCACTGAGAGGAATGGGAAACCAGAGAACAATACCATGAACATTAATGCTTCCATTTATGATGAGATTCAGCAGGAAATGAAGCGCGCTAAAGTGTCCCAAGCACTGTTTGCAAAGGTTGCGGCAACCAAAAGCCAGGTAAGAGCCTCTATTAGGCATTGAGAATGTTTATCTGTGATGCCAGTGGAATTTTCATTAAAAGAAGTATCTATTTGCAATATGAACTTACAACCAAGAGGTCACTATCTTCAGGTTTATTTGCAGAGCTCTACAATGAAACAGTATTCAAATTCAGGTCATAGATATTTGGTTAACAACCACTCCTCAAACCAGGGATTTCTCAGTAAATCCCTGAATCAGTTAAATAGTTGTTTCAGAAGAAGGATATTATAATGTTTAGAAAGTTTCTCACTCTGGTCTATTGTAATAGAATAAATAACTTGAATTAACATTGTTTCATTATTATTTAGATGGTCTGGATTTCCATTCTAAAGTTCTACAAACATTATACAGTTTCTTCTGTTCCAACTTGGCTATCTGTAACTACTAGGTGCACTTATTAAGATAAACTGGCATATACACACATATCTTTGCATAGTAATGATTTTAGTTTTTCTATAAGACACAAAAATTGAGTTACAGTTAGAAAAGTTGTCCAACTCTGATGAATTATAACTGAATAAACTTGAATTGGAAAAGTTGCAAATTTTTATAAAACAAAATAAAAACAAAGGATAGATAATGTAGTCTTTTATCAGCATAATCATCATATTTTGATAATTTATGTTCATCAAAAGTAGAATCATCTATGTGAACAAGGTTACAATTACCTATAAACCCTTCTCCAAAGCCAAGAATACTTTATTTAAACGTCCAGAAGAATACTAAACTCTCTTCCCCTTCAAAAAGGATTTGATAATACTCTTAAAGTGAGATTTAGAGGCAATCAAGGGCTCCAGGTGAGATTTTAACAACTTGGAATTTTACACAAGTGTATATTTTCATTATCATTAATGAAACTTCTTTTATAAAACAGCCTGGATGTTGTGAACTTCTGACAAAACATATAATCCTGGGAGTATTTACGGTATGATGTAGTTATGATATAATACCTTTTTGGCTTTTCCTAAAATCTTACTCTGTCAATGTTAATAGTGTTACTTGATGGGAGTTTTGCTTTAGGAAAATGTTGTTCTTGTTTAAGTTATAGGCTGGATGAAATACTTAAGGGATATCTTGGAAATGTTATATAAAAATGATTAAACTCAAGCTGTGGACTGTAAAAATTATAGCTTTATAGGCCACATGCCTGCCTACCCTTCAATCACTGTCAAAGTGATAATTTCTACAATAATATGTTTCTTTTATTGTGAGATTCTAAACATCAAGTGCTGTTTAAACATTAAACTGAATTGTTTATGTTAGTGCTGTACTCAGCGTGTCATACATCAGGCCACCGTAATCTCTCATGGAATGTAAAATTCTGTCATGAATCATGGCTTGTATATCGGAAATTACTGTAATTTTGATTGGAAATTACAGGGCTCTTGAAATGTTTCTAATTATGATAGAATGTTAGAGCCGCTTTAAACCTGTGTGCTTCTTCAGATGTCTTCATTTACATGCCAAGACTATGCATTAAGGAGAAATGTCCTGTTCTCACTTTACCCACCCCCCCACTTACCCACCCACCCTGCACATTCTTGTTTTGGCTCTTTAGTCTAATTATGATGAGGAGCTCATATTTAAATATATGTTATCTTGCCTTTTTTTCTGATCCTACATCTTTTTTTTTTCTTCCTGACCTGTCCCATTATCAAGAATAACATATTGTATTCCTGCAAAGACCAATCACTTTCCCCCGATCTCCCAAACAGAGAAACTAGACATGTATATTATTATGATAAGGGTCAGCCTTAAAACAAACAAAATTTAATATTAAAACTTTTCAGTGATTGTCATTTGGTTGCCTGTCATCTGTCATTTAATTCAACCAATCCCCCCTCCCCATTTTCCTTTCTGACTGTAGCATAGCTCCCTGCGGTTAATAGCTCCTTTGCTACCTTTGAATTCATTCTTTTAAATGATACCCCAGATTCTCCCCACCTGGGCTGAATTGCTGGTTTTGGAACTATCCAGACTGTAGCAGCCGTTGGCTGATAATGTCACGTAAGTGATGTTCTGAGAAGTTTTTTAACATCCTTGCTCTCTTTGTACCCTGTCTTGCACAGCCACTCCCGAGGCTCTGTGTCACAGTGTCAAGGGGCAGCTTCTAAGTATTTGCTGTGACGGTGTGTTTCCCAAAACCCTGAAAGCTTTTAGCTAACCTCCTCCTTACTGGTTGAGAGAGAATCCAAAGGGCCAGTTGTAGACTGTGAGTCAGGCAGACTATTAACTTTCATTCCCCTGTGTAGTTTTTCCTAAATTCTCGTTGACTCTAACTTCCAGGCAGGGCGTTTTTGTAGTCTTCTTAGTTGTTCAGTTTAGATGTGAGCACTACCCTCTTTTTGAAAATATATACAAAGATTGGCAATTCCTTAAAAAGGAGACAGTCCAAAACCTGTATGTGTTACTAACAGAGGAAACCTGGCTTGATAAGGAAAGGTGCTCATTGACTTAAGTTCTGTTCTCCTGCTATGATATTTGTGAAGGAAACAGGAAAACTAACAAGCAAACAAAAAGCTTCAAATCTGACTGACCCTTTTCATGGCCAAGACTCTAAAAGGGTTATTCCTCAGATATGTGTACAAGGGCTTGACAAGCCCTCGTGACAAGTGGGGGGACCAGAGTCACTTCTGTCTCAGCCCATCCACCTCCGGCTGCTTCTGTGTCTCACCCTGGTTGTTCGAGTTGGCTTCACCATCATCTCTTTCATGCTAGACCCTATCATGCATTATATATTGTCTACATTTAGTTTAGTAACCCTATCATTATTTCTCTCATTTTGCACATGAGGGTCACTCAACCAGTAAATACTCGCGCCACAACTCCACATTCTCTGCATTTCCCCTCCTGTTTTAGTATTTCTTCAGAGTTAAAGGCAGTATCGGTAGTGAGGTTATACCCTGCTCCAGGAAAGAGGAATTAGGATTGCTGGACTAATTGATAGAAACAGATAAACAGTGAGGGCTTTCCCCTCTTCTGTGGCATGGTCGTGGAACGCAGGTTCTTACCAATACAGAGCCCTCAGAGTCCAGGCTTTAGGCCTGATAGAGGTGGGTGTACGTGGTGAAGAAATCAGAGGAGGCAAGCTGTAATCCAGGGTCTGTCACTGACTCTGTAATATTAAGAAAATTTAACTTTTGGGGGCCTAAGAGTCTTTCATCATGGGAGGAGATCCCATGCTATAACGTTTGCAAAAGAGCTTTTAAGTTACACACCACCATATACAAATTGTAACATTTTATAAAGTGCTAAGCAAGATGTTCAGTCCTTCACATGGATAAGGGTGATTTATTTATCATGTATTTATGTATCTAAAATACCTTTCATTTTAAAAGGTAAAGCGTGCCTGCAGTGACTAATGCATAAAGTATTTTCAGTAAAAGAAACCAACTCATGTAGATTTTACCATTTCACATGTATTATCTTATCTCTTCAATGAATAATAGATATGAGATTGTTTTTAACTCTAATAGAAACGTCTGAATAAAATATGCAAGTAAAACCTGAAGGTAGGCTACTTTTTGTGCTTGGTTAGGAAAGCAAGCTAATGCAAACTTTAAAAAGATGATATGCTTTAAACATAATGTGAATAGCTACAAATGAATACACTTTATATTCTGGGTATTCAAATAAGCAGCAGTTTTTCCAAGTGAATCATATTGGAATTTTATCAAACATTTAGTCTGATAACATTCAAATAATTATGAGAGCAGAATTTGCTAATTTTACTGTTTAAAAAAAAATAGTTGATTTCGGTAATAACCATTACGGTATCAAGGTTCAGTTACTGTTCATTGGTTATAGTGTTTTCATATGGGAGATGGAAATGGAATTTTTTCCTTAATGGTGGCAGATGTTGGAATCTAATTTTATTCCACAGCAAACCCCTTGAGAGCTTTGAGACTTAAGGTGTGTGTCCAGCAAGGGGACATTAGCAGTGCTGTAGGCCTTGCCTTGTATATCGAATTGTTACATTGATTTTCATGTTTGCATAGGTGGAGCTTGCAGATACAGTAGTGCAGTAAGAGAGCAAAGGGCTTTTACAGAGCTGCACTGCAGCACCACTTGTGTTTAGAAAATGATTTCTCTCTAGTGCTTTATTGAACAGGGTATTTCTGTTAGGTGAAGCAGCTAGATGATGAAAATTCTATTTGACTGAACGTACTTTCAGTATAATTGTTTGCAGTCTCTACGAGTTAGAGGACACTTTGGCTGCTGCAACTTCAACTGATTGATAGGGTTTTCAACACTAAAAAAAAGAGGATTTCTGACTCTGCAGAAATAGCACAACTAGTAGAAGACAATAAATAAAGCCTTTTTCTTTCTTCCATCTACTTTGCACTTTTGTCATTGAGATTCGGGGCCTCTAGGATGAGAGAGAGAGGGAAATAGACAGAAAAAGACAAACCCAGTGCTCCTTGGGTTTGTAGGTTAAAAAAAGCATCATTCTGACCTTTAGGTTTTTAAATTCTTAGATGGTAATTGGATGTCTTAAATACAAGTGAGACATATGTCACAAATCAGTGCGGCTAGAAATAGGGCTAAAAATGTGATTTTCATTGCTGGCAATAGGAACCTATAGTGACAAAATCCAGGAATAAAATCACGAAAGCAGTGACATTGCATTCTGTATTTCTAGCATGTTAGCGAAGGCATCTTTTATTTTGTTAGAATTAAATTACACTTCATGGAAGCTACAGTTTGAAGCTCTGTGCTGATTCATTCGTTTGGAAGGTTCATGTAACAGACTTTGCTGCAACAGGATTTCACCTGCGTAGCTTCCTATTTAAGGCACTCACTCCTGTGCAGATTAGAGAGTCACGGTTTCTGTTATTCCTGGTGCCACATCCTTTTGTAGCAGTCTGTGGAAAGATCTTTATATTGTGACCTCAGAGCCCCTTCTCTTGGGCAAATGAAGTTTTCTTCAGCCAGGGTCTGAAGAAAGAGCTGTCCCTGTCACATTCTCCAGTTTT